CAGTTAACGTTTTCCTGTCCTCCCCAAACTAACTGGCTTTTTATGTGAAAGAATCCATCACTTTCACACTTGTCATTCTTTGCCACTGCCTCTTGAAATTAACAGCTGGCCCGAAAACTTTGTACCAAAAAATAAATAAATAAATAAACCCTTCCTTCACATCCTTCCATCGTGATTGCTGTAGCTCAGGCTAGTTTTTCTCATCTTTCTGGCTTCCCATATGTCTGCTGGCTCTGACACAAGGTTGAAGAATCCTTTTAGTGAATCAAGTATTACTTCCCAAGTGCTTCTCTGTGTGTAGACTCGTGTGGGTGCACAGTATTTGTTCGACGTTCTCATTTTGTGAGATACTCCGTTACCCTCTTCTGTCCATACTTTCCACGTCCAGGAGTTTTATGTACGAGTTTTCTTCAAATTTACTTTTGACTCCTCATGTGAAAACCATCAAATTTCTCTCAAATCCGAGTCTCTACTATAAACACACCCTCCGTATGTATTCTGAGCTTATGTCTAGGAAACAATTCAATTTTCTACCATACTGAAGGGTCGCTATTACCTAATTTGGGTTTCTTTTGCCACTGCATATGAGAAATGCGCACTACCCATTTACTAAACTAAATAAATAAAACCCCACATGCCAATTGATACTTTTCCTTGTGCTACAATAAGTATTCCTAATGTTTGTATAAAAGAGTTCAAATATATGAGAGCTAAGGTGTTCTCTTTTGTCATACAGCAAATGACATGGGAGGGGAAAGAAGAAAGAGGCTGTAGGTACCTTTGCTGAATTTCAGTTACAAAAATAATGTAAATCAGCCAGCTGCTTTTGTAAGAGCAAAGGGACATGAATAAATGAAAAAAATGCAGGGACAATCAAAGAAAGATATTCTCTCCTTTGCTCCCTTGAAGTTAAACTCTGTCCTATGAACTATCAGAACGACTTCCTAATTACCAGCTACCCATGCCGAAATCCACATGACTGTTACGACAAAACCAGTTCCTTTTAAATTTTTGCAGTGCTGGTTTTTACACTCCTTCTGGTAAGGGGCTTAGGCAAATTCATACATCCTACTAAGATTACTGTTAACTAAAAATGTGGATACCTGATGCATTCTTAAGGTAATGATCTCTATTTGTAATTTCTCT